ATCGATTTTCCAAAGAAAAACCCCAAAAAAATGCCGAAATCTCTATTTTTAGCCCCACTGTAACCCAAGAAAAAGACCAAAAATAGCAGAAATTTTGGATTTTCGCATCATTTTATCTCTCGAATTTGAAACCCGATTTTTTTCTGTCAAATCTTTTCCGTTTTTTTCCAAGAGACTCATGTTTTTGTGGTGTTTAAAAGGCAAAAATGAATAGGTTTTGGTAAAGTTTTTCAAGTTTTTCGACAATGAATGAATGCAAAATGGCACAAGAAAAGCCTCAACTGAAAACTCATTTTGCTCTCCAAATGAAGCACTTTGAAACAAAGAAATTTCAGATCAAACTTAATTGCAAGTTTTAGCACATTTTAGAATATTCAGTGATCAGAATTTTGATATATTTTGATATTTTGATAATTTTGATAATTTTGATATAATTTTGAAAACGGATTAAAAAGAACAAGTTTCAAAGTTGATGTTGGCATGCGAGAGGTTAAAGACCTAATACTCCGCCATGACTGTAGGCTTTGTAGTAAGTTTAAGTAAATATTGATAGTAAATCTTGAGTTGGGTATTCAAGGTATTTAAAGATATTCAGCTTTCTCGGCTGAACACCTTTTATTGCGTGTTCAGCCCGAAATTCGACTTTTTAATTCGAATCGAAAAGTACAAGTTTCAAAATTGGGTATAATCTAGCGAAGTTTAAGCATTTAATGCCCATAAACTGGATTTCCAATTCAACGAGAGCTACTTTGAAAACTTGAAACATGAAAGTTGAAAGTAGAAACTTGAAACTGAAAAAGTTTCAAAGTTTCCCCGAATCTATGAGCGCTTCGTAAGTCGCATTGTAAACGCCATTTTGATAGTTAAATGCAAATTTGTAAACGAATCCAACTGTTATTCAAAATTCTATGAAATCAAAAGAGAGCAAAGAAACAATCTCTTGAAGAAAAATCGTTTCTTTCCTTCAAAAGCAACGATTTCCTACTTGTTTTCCCTCGAAAAACGAGTTTTCTCTTGAAATTTTGAAAGTTTCCCCTACAAAATCTCAAATATTTCATAGTAAACATTTAAAAAATGATCACACCATTTTGCTTGCTTTCTTTGCTATTTAATGCTCTCTTCTATCATAATAGATTTCGAAAAAGGTGATTTTTTTTTTAGGATTACGGTAAGTCTAGACAGTTTTCTGTCTTTTTTTTCTCTTTTCTGAATGAATATTTGTCTCTCTCTCTCTCTCGATCATTCCCCCAATTTTTCTTTACACTTTCTCCGAAAAATGTTTTCTTTCTTTCGGTGATATCATTTCTTTTTAAGATTAGCACTATATAAATAATGTTTTTTTTCAGTTTAAATAAGCATTCCAGCATTCCATTTAAATTTTCCTGAAAATATTCGTTTGAGGTTGACTTTTCATGGGGATGAGGGTCATGGGTCTCATACCCATGACCCTGATACCAATGAAAAGTCTCACACCCATGACCCTGATACCAATGAAAAGTCTCATACCCATGACTCTCATACCAATGTACCCGTGTCAATGTATGTCAACCTGAAAAGACTTTTCGAAAAATCACTTTTCAAAATGAATTCAATCTTCAGATCTTTAGCTTTTTTGAAAAATTTGGTATTTAGATCTTTATGCGACCTTTTTTATATATATTATTCTACCGGATTTTACCGTATTTTCTCTAATAGTAGTACACCCCAAGCTTTGCCTAAATTCCTCGAAATCTCGAGAACCGCTTATCAGAACCTATCGATGTGGGGTCGGAAAATGTAGCTGACGATCAGAACTTGTCGGGATTTGAGTGTTCAGCTTCTGCAAAAGCTTCGAAATCGTAAAATCGTCACAAACTCGGCTCGCAGGAGTGCACTACTATTAGAGAAAATACGGTAAAAAATTTTCTCTTTTTTCCAAATGTCCTGCAATAATTAAAACCCCAGAGACGCGTTTATCATCAAGAAAATTGAAACTCAAACTTTTTTTTAGCTTTTTAACCCTTTCGTGAAATTGGTTGCTAAAATTGCAGGTGTAAGATATAAAATATTTTGTGACCTCTCAAATCTTGTAAACACTCTCTTTCTGGTGCACTTAATTCAAATTTAATCCTTGCCTTAGCAAAAGCATAATATCGTTCTGTTAATATTCGCTCAACAACTTGTACTTGAATAGATTGAAACATGATCTTTAAAAATTTGTGCAAATCTGTGACAAATAAAAATAAATGATCAAAATAAATCAAAAAATGATTTTGTGAGATTGAAATTTTTCACGTTTACTTCTCAAATTTTTTTTTTTTTAAAAACAAAAAGGTTGATCATTGACACTTTTCCAGTCAATTTTTGAGAGAGAAAAACAATTTTTTTCTTGCTCATTTTCTTCAATTTTGATAGCTTGTTTTGATAGACAGATCGTAGCATTTTTCTTGGGAAAAATTAACAAATATTTGTTTTTTCATTGGTTATAAATTCGTTTTCCAAAAGTGATGTTTCAAGTTTTCTGGAATATTTTTGGTTTTCTATATTTAGTATTTTGAAGTTTTTTTGTGGATTTTAAAAATCGCTTTAAACAAATTTTTTAATTTTTTAAAAGCTTTCTTTAAACATTTTATTTCTTTGTTTCAATTCTGAATGAGTTTAAAATAGATTTAGCTTAGTTGGTTATTTGTTTTCTTTTTGGTTAGTTGGTTACCGTATTTCTTCGAATAGAAGACCGGTGTAAAGAGTATGATCGCGTACTCCTGCGTAGCAGCCCTTTTTAAAATTTCTTTTCTGCATAAAAGCTTTCAATCAAGTGCTATAGAGCTGGAAAATGGCTCAAAAATCTGTTAGCTCATGTCGTATTTTTGAGCCATTTTCCAGCTCTATAGCACTTGATTGAAAGCTTTTATGCAGAAAAGAAATTTTAAAAAGGGCTGCTAAACAGGAGTACGCGATCATACTCTTTACACCGGTCTTCTATTCCAAGAAATACGGTAGATTTTATCTTTTATCGAGAGTTGGTTATCTTTTTAGATTCTCTTCTATTCTTTACAATTAGCTTAAGGGTTTCCCAAATAGAAACAAATATGATAAACAAAGTTGGAAAAAAAGAGTTGGAAAGCAATCAGGAAGCAGCAATAACATTTCTGAATACTTTAGTGAGACGAGGGATTTCAGCTTTACGATACTTTTAGGTTAATTAAGCAATTTCAACCTTTGCTAGAATCAAGTTTCAATTTTTTACAAGATCTTGACAATTGAAAGGTTACTAATGAAGCAAACCGAAATCCATGTTTGTGCAAATTTTTGTTGGTGAGAGTTGGTGAAAGGTAAGGCATTGAAAAACTAATCACTAGCGGATTACGATAGTTTTGAGTGCCTTTTAGAAAACGGATTCAAATCAAAATAAATCCAGCTTCGATGATCTTTCTAAATTGGTGAGAAGGGGAAAAGTTTTTTCGAGAAATATGGAAATGGAAAAAAAAAGAGGAAAAGTGAGTGAAAAGAATTGGAGTCTAGACTCTTGTCAGGCTGAAAAATTGAGCGCCTCAAGGAGAAATCTGTGTCTACTTTTTGGCACAAATCTCGCGGAGAATTAGAGAAAATGAGGGGAATTTGGAGATTTTGCTGCCCAGCCAAAAGATTGTGTTCCAAGATTTTGCAGAGCAAAAGAAAGAAAATTAGACTTTTTTTTTGGGTTCTGGCAAGCTGCTCTTCATCTTTCATTTATCATATTCCCTTTTTGGGCTTTGAAGAAAGTTGAATTGAAAGAATTGAAAGAATTTAATTAAATTGAAAAATTTAATTGCATTTTCCAGCTTTCGATTACGATTAATTTGAAAATTTGACTTTTTACATTAAAAAAATTGAAACTTGAAATTTTTTTTTTTTTTTTTCGATTTTTTTATTATATTACCTTTTTCTTATTGCTGGAATTGGTTTTAAACATTTGATTTTTAAGTTGAATAACTCGAAACACAGCTCTTACTTCAAAATAAACTTCAGAAAGTTTGTCAATTAGAAAACAAAAAAATCCCCCGGAAAACTAAATATTGAGAGCAAATTTCGGGAGGAAAAATTTCAAACATGACTTTTCTTTTTGCAGTTGTTTTTTTTTCGAACCGATTAGTAAAGAGCTATTGGCCTTGAAGCCTTAAAGATCTCATTTTGAAAATGAAAAATTCAAGGCTTCAAGGCTTTTGGAATAATGTCGGGTTTCGAGTCCTACAACTCGAAACTCGACATTATTCGAAAACAGAAGCTTTTATTATCAAAAAAGTTTGACATTTCTTCAGTTATTAACATGAAAACTTCGTTTTTCATTCGAAAAAATTTGAAACTTTACTTTTTCTTTGTCTTTTTTGTCAATTAATGTGTCAATTCAATTGTCAATTAAAATTCCTGGTCAAACTAGATTTCGGCAACACATTTATGAGGTAAAAAAGCTGAAATCTAAGTATTTTTACAACTTTCCATTATCGAAAGCCGATTACTGACATTGTTGAGTTGAAAAACTCGAAAAGTTTCTTTGCAATTCACTTTGAAACTTTCATTTTTAAGTTTACAGAAACTTTGTGTTATTTCTAAGCGATTTTCCGGTACATTACATATCGAGAACATATTTTTAAGCGAAATACATTCAAACTTAAGTTTTTTTTTCTTGCATTTCACTATTTTCTTTCACATTTGATTATCCGAAAATTCATTGTTATAGAAAATTCGAAATAAGTTCATTTATATTTCAAATTTACATTTATATTAAATCAGTGAATCAGTTTTTGGAATAGTTCAAAATTTGATTTAAATTCAAAGAAAAGAAGATAAATAAGACAAGAAATAAGACTTCAAATCCAGGAATAACTCCGATTGAAACTTCAAATTTTGAACAAATCTTTGAAATTTTGAAACACGACTTTTTTTTTCCTTTTTTTGCTTCTTTTTTTCTGAATTTTGAAACTTAATCAATTTTGATTGGAACTTTCAAATTTCAAAAAGAAATCTATTGAATGCTTGCAGGAATGCTGACATTCCCCCTCGTGATCATCGCATTTCTCGGGTGGCTCTATCAACAATTCGTGTATCGCAGAAAATTCTACCCGCCCGGTCCGATGCCATTGCCCTTCATCGGCAATTTTCATCAGGTGAACAAGTTTGAGTTTCGCCTTTGAATAATAACAATAATAAGCATAATAAGCGTAATAAGGTTCATAATAAGCATTCAGTTTAGCTAAACCCTTGTAGATTCAAAGTTAAAGAACGTTGAAACATACTCCACATTAAAATTTCGCAAATCGCTCAAACCTTTACTACTTTGAAACATGATTTTTTTTTGATCGTGAAATCCACTAAATTTCCCACAATCAATTATGGTTTCAAAATGAATCATTTACCTTTACCTTTTGCCATTTACCTTTTGCATTTACCTTTTGCCTACACCTTAACCACTTTGAGACTCATTTTGAAGGCAATTTCCCCTATGGAATAGCCGAAAAATTTTAGCTAAGCTGCATGATTATTATGAAACAATTGGAGCTTTAGAATTTGAATAAACCGCGAAAATTTTGAAACACGACTTTCTTTTTTTGCTTTTGATGACCTAATCAGATTTTGAAACAAGATAAATCACAATATTTAAAAATATAATATTCCAAAGCCTTTTTTCCAGATCAATCTCGCCAACCCGGCCCGTTCGATGCTGAAGTGGCGAGAACGTTACGGCCCAGTCTTCACCGTTTGGTTACCAAAGCCGATCGTCGTCTTGGCCACCCATAAAACTTTACAAGAGGCACTCGTGAGAAATGGTGAGGAGGGAAATTCTATTTCAATTGGAAAAACAACGACTGCAATACTAGTGTCCTTTACGATTAGTAAACTAATTCGACAAACCCGCTCAGCTTGAAACACAGCCTCTTCCATTTCCTAAACCTTGCTTGACTTTTCCCTTTCCACCGTAATCTTTTCTCTATTTTTTATAGTCAGGATTACTTTTGATTACTGTAGAAGAAAACTGCAAAGAAAAAGAATACGCTAATTTTGGTTTCTGTAGAGATCACTTTGAATCTTGAGCTTGATCACTTTGAAATGTTCAAGTTTCAATGTTAGGGGGATAACCCGGAGTTTTTTCCAAACAATAGGCAAAGGAATCCGTTTTTGTACATGACATAAGAATCTAATGAAAGAGAAACCAAAATTAGCGTATTCTTTTTCTTTGCAGCTTTCTTCTACAGTAATCAATAGTAATCTTAACTATAAAAAATAGAGACAAGACTACAGTGGAAAGGGGAAAGTGGGGCAAGGTTTAGGAAAGGGATTAGAGGAGTTTCAATTGAAATTTCAATTGAAATAACAATATTCAAAAGACAAGTTTCAAAGTAAAATAGATAAACTCGTTTCTTTGCACATTTCTTTGCGCAAAGATCTTTCGTTCTGTTCTGACCAACAATTCAGAATCATTTTGAAAAGACAAACATTTTAAAGCTCAAATTTTTCTGAATTCTTGTATCTTTTCTATTTTTTTGCACTAGAAACTTTGATGAATTAGAGATTAGATTCATTTTTGCAACCTGTGAAAAACAAACAGGTTTTTCCGGAGAAATTGCCCAAAATTTTGTGTTGTTGTAAAAAAAGAAAACCGAGTGAAACCCGAAAACAAATCAAGGTCAAATTTGGGGAGATTTCGAGGAAATCATTGGCACACATTCAATCATTTTGAGAAGTCAATAGTTTATTGAGTTTGAAACGGAGAGATTGTAAAATTCAAAACTGGTAATAGCTGGCAATAGCTGACAATAACATCAATGTTAAAAGAGGAATTTGAAATTCATTAAATGAAAATTTTCGAGAGATTTTCTAGAGATTCTCTAGAGATTCTCTAGAGATAAAGAAGGCTAACTCAAGAAAGAAAGAAAGCTAAGTAAAGAAAGAAAGAAAGAAGGCTAACTCAAGAAAGAAAGAAGGCTAACTCAAGAAAGAAAGAAAGCTAACTAAGCTGACAAACTCAAACGGATTATTGTAAAGAAGTAACTAGGTTTCATGCAAATCTTTATAGAAACTTTGAAACTTTGAAACACGAGCTAAACAAGTGCCTTACTACTGTTTTAATACTGTTTTGAAAAGAACGCGATCATCATTGATCTTTAACATTGATCATTTTGAAAATGAAGTCAGATGGCTGGCGTAATCTTGATGATAATCTTGAAAGTTTCATTGCTAATACAATTTCTCCTTTCAAGGTGACGCGTTCGCCGGCCGGCCCACCAGTTTCCTCTACTCGATCTTCACGAAAAATCGACAAGACGGTGATGGAATCATTTTGTGTCAAAAGGTGAGCTTCAAAAAAAGTATTTTAGATAGATAAAGAAGAAAAAGAAAAGGAAAAAAGATAACCGTTAGGGTTGACAAACTTAAGAAATCAACAAGATGCAATTCTATGTTAAATCTCGGCTCAAAAGCCGACAAATTTGAAACATTCATTTTTTTAGGAGTAAAAGAAGAGAGAATTAATGAATTTTAGCATTTTTTAAGGTTAAAGATCGGGTTTCAGCTTAAATATTATTAATTTTGAAATGTAGAATTTAAAAAATAGGTGAATTATGCCAATTTTTAGCTTTTGGACAGTTAACTATAGTTCACGAGTCACCAAAATTGTCTCTTCTTTTCAAGAGTCGACAAATTTGAAACATAAAAATTGCTCCCAGGAGCGCTGGTCGGTGAATCGCGCGTTCGCTTTTATTTTCGTAACCCGTTTTAGTTCTAGTAACTCATTTTAGTTTTCGTAACTCATTTTAGTTTTAGTAAATCGTGAATTGGTGTTTGGTTATAGTTAACTGTCCAAAAAAATGAATTGGCATAATTTACCTATTTTTAAAATTCTATGTTTCAAAATTAATAAATTAAAAAAAATAAACTCAAAATTAATAAATTGTCTCTTCTTTTCAAGAAGCCGACAAATTTGAAACATAAAAATTGCTTCCAGGAGCGCTGGTCGGTGAATCGCGCGTTCGCTTTGCGGGTGTTCCGAGACTGCGGAATGGGACGTGATGTGATGGCGGAGAAGATTTTGATTCAGGTTTTCATTTGAACATTACAAAATCGAAATATTAGGAAAGGAAAGATTTCATCTGAACTTAAAGAACGCAAAAAAATGAGTCTCTGTTCTCTGAAGAAAATCAGTTTCACTTTTGATAGTGTTAACTCGATTTCTTCGATTAATGACGCCTTCAAATGAATCTAGTAGAAAGAAAATGGCCTTGTGGCTCTTAAGGGCACAAATTTCGGGTAGAAATTCTTTTGAAATTAGTTAATTAGCTAATTTTATTTAGTATACAAATTTGTTAAGTTAAAACGTTTTGACAAACGAGATAAGAGTCATTTTATCGAAATTTAACAAAATATTCAACGTTTCAACCTAAAGAACCACTTTTTTAAACAGATTTTCTTATCAATAGTATTTCCTTTTCTTACAAATTCCATTCCCATTCTTATACCTCATTTTAGGCGGAAACTCTCGTCAATCATCTCAAAGAACGAATCGGCGACAAGCAGGTATTTAAACCAACCTTTCTAGTGTACTTTGTGCTCTCTCAAACCCCCTAAACATTCCCTTTCTGGCTCACTGCATTTCTTCTATTTTTTCCTCACACCAACTCGTGTCACGAGCGGAAATAGAAGACAGAAAGCGGTGTTTACGGGACTTAAACACAGCACAAAGTACACCCAATCAAGTTGTTGCTTTAAATCTATTTGACCGAATAATTACTCCCAAAACCTGATCCTACAGTTTCCTAACTTTGAAACACAAGCATTTTCAATGTCTCAATTCGATTTCAGCAAACTCGCCTCAACCCCCACCATCCATTAGCTTTCTGTGTCGGCAATATCATTCACGATCTCATCATTGGACGAGTGGGTTTTCGGTTTCAATTTTTGCATAAAATCCAAAATATCTTGACCAAAATTGGCATTCAGAGACCAAAAAGCTAAGAGTTTCCAAAGTAAAGACTCGAGTTTTATAGTAAAAACTATTTTTGTACTTTCACAGCAGCCTTTTTCACAGCAGAACATTTTCAGACGTATCCCTACGGAGATTCGGAGTTCGAGCGCTTCAAATTCCTCATTGACAGCACGTTAAAAGATGTGAGTTTCAAGAAAATGTGAGGGCGACAGTTAGCTTTGAGATTACCAGCTTGAATTGATTTCCCCAATTCAGGTAGCCTCATGGCAAATGCAAATGGTCGACTCGTATCCGTTTTTAGCCGAGTTTTTCTCGCTCTTTCGACGTTATAAGAAAAACGGTTTCGCTTTGCAGCAATTCTTTTTGGATGAGATCGAGAGGTCAGTGCGGAGACGCTTTTCTTGATCTTGCATTGAATATTGGATTGTCAAATTTCAAATTAATTTACTTAAACTTGAAACAAAACTTTTCTTGCGGTCAAACTTTTTGAAATCTTTCTTTCATGCTAAAGTTGCTGGGTGAAATGCTGGGCTTTGAACTTTCTGAGTGTTGAACTGAATGCGAGTTTAATTTTGTCAGACACCTGGGAATTACTGAAGTTTTAAATTTTCCCTAACTTGTTTAAGATTGAACGAAGCTTTGAAAACAAGTTGAAAACAAAATGAAATTGAACAAAACAAACAGAAAAAATGCTTTTGAAATCTTTTTGAAATTTGAATTTGAAATTTGATTAAAATTTGATTGAAATTTTGAAATTGAAGTAATCACTGGAGTTTTTAAAAAATATAATAAGAGTTAAAATAGTCTTTCATGTTTTTAAAGTCTTTAAAGTCTGATTCCTTCTCTCTTTAAATTTGGTTCCTTAGCTCTCTAAAGTGGTTGCTTATCTCTAAATTAACACTCTAAATACAATATGTTTCCTTATCTTACTAAATTTGGTTCCTTCTCTCTAAATTTGTCTTTAAAAACGTTTAAAAGTCTTTTCCACATCCACATGGCTCCATTGGACGAGCAAATTTCCCCTTGACTTCAGTAAATTTGAAACAAAACTTTTTTGGCGATCAAATACTTTTTGGTAGAATCGGCATTTTTATGCAATCAAAATTGAAGTGTTTAACGGTTTAACGAATCCTTTTCAGACACGACGAGAATCTGAGTGAAGATGGAGATCCTCGAGATTTCATGGAGGCCTATTTGCGGGAAATGAAGCGACAACCCGAGAATCCGCATTTCAAGTGAGATTTCGCTGAAAATCGGCTTTTGATGTTATTATTGGTAAATCTTTTCAAATTCAAAGTTTCAAAATGAGTGCAGTGATTGAATTTTTTGGCTTGATCGTTTTTGAATTAAGTAAAAGCATTCTTTTTCTTTGAAAGATCTCTTTAAAAGATCAAATCAATAGAGAAAATGAATGTTTCAATTTAAACCGGCTCAAATTGAAACCATAAGTTTAATCAATCATTGAAAAAACATTTTTAATCTCTTTTGTAAATTTTGGTACTGCAGGGGGAAGGAAATAAAATAAAATAGAATAGAATAGAATAGAAAAGAATGCTGAAATAGAATAGAATTCTGAAAGGTGATTGAACAAATAATGCTCTGGAAGATTGATTCCTTTTCAGCAAGCTCACCCTAGCGCTCACATCCGGCGATTTGTGGACGGGCGGAATGGAGACTTCGGGTAATTTTAAACAAGAAATAGTTATTTTATGATTTTCTCTTGAAAATTTTCATTTTTCAATGTTAACGAGAGTTTGGGTAGAGTTTAAGAGTTAATAAGTTAGAACTCGCTTTCAAAATCAAAACCTTTACAGTGACGACTCTCCGGTGGGCGATCATCTTTCTAATGTACCATCCGCATATTCAAAAAAGGCTACACGACGAGATCGATCAAGTGAGTTCAAAGTTTCAAAGTTTATGACTGGAAAATGAGCTTTTAAGAAGAGAAATCGGATTGCTGTTTATTCCAAAACTGCTTTCAAAAAAAAAAAGCTGGTACTTGTAATCAGTAGATCGGCGTAATTCAGATTAAATTCAGAAAAATTACGATTTATCAAAATTGAGTTTCAAATTTATGATTTAGTGGCTCAAGAAGAAAATCCCTAATCATTTATCGGCTCAAATTTTTCAAGTTCTAAAGGCAAACATTGAATTTTAAGAATTTGAAGGTTTTCGATAATTTGAAAGCTTCCAGAAAAGTTTTGATGTTTCAATTTTGATCGTAAATGGCTCAAGGCTAAATTTCCAGTCAAAAGAAGAGTTAATAGAAAGAAAAACAAACTTCTAGCAATTGTGTCAATCATTTGTTCGTTAATCATTTGTTTCAAAAGTAAAAGTTTCAAAAACTCGAGGTATTAAAGGCTAAAATAAATTTTGCTGTTTCAAATTCAGTTTTAATGGCTCAAGCTTTGCCTTTGTAGTCTCTGATCAATTCGAGTCGTTAACATTTCAACATGGTTTACATGGGAATTGTTGAAATTCGAGCATTTTCCAGGTTCTCGGCGATTCCCGAGCCACGTACTCTTGCCGAAATCAAATGCCGTACACGATGGCCACGTTGAGTGAGCTGCAACGGATTTGCAACGTTTTACCCTGGCATATCCCGCATCGGTAAGCATTTTGTCCTTAAAAAAACCTTTTTTTTCCTAAAAATAGCTGTTTAAGTCGAAAGTTTCAATTAAAAAACCAAGAATTTCAATGCTGGGGTCAGTTTTAAACTTTTAAAACAGTTTTTAGACTTTTAAAACAGTTTAAAACAGTATCAAAACAGTTTAAAACAGTTTCAAAACAGTTTAAAACAGTTTTAAACAGTTTTAAACGAGTTTTAAACAGTTTTAAACAGTTTAAAACAGTTTTAAACGAGTTTTAAACAGTTTTAAACCAGTTTTAAACAGTTTTAAACGAGTTTTAAACAGTTTTAAACAGTTTTAAACGAGTTTTAAACAGTTTTAAACCAGTTTTAAACAGTTTTAAACCAGTTTTAAACAGTTTTAAATAGTTTTAAACCTTTTAAACCTATCTAAAAGTAAAGTAAACAAATAAGATCTAAATTCTTCAATATTTCTGCAATTTTAGAGTGCTCCGCAATGTCACAATCGAGGGTGTTTTGTTAAAAGAGGGCACCGATGTGATGCCCCAATTCGGCGCTGTGCACACCGACCCGAAAGCTTTCGATCAACCAGACGAGTTCCGGCCGGAGAGGTCATTTTAAATATCATTTTAAATATCAATACTTTATTCATGTAAGCATGAAAATGTAAAAATATTAGGTTGTCCAATAAATAATGCGTGTTACTTATTTCGAAACTATTGCGAAATCGCTTCGAGCAAATATATGCTCTTTTTAATCATCAGCATCTTGTGTTTATTTTTATATATTATTTTATTCATTTACCTTTGTTTTATAATAGATATGTTGTTTTGCAGATGAAAGACAAAAAGTTTGTTGTCCGCGCATCAATGCTGTATGATTTCAAACGAGGTAAAACTGCAGCGCATTGCCATCGAACTATCTGTGCCGCATTTGGAGAGGATTCAATTTCAATCAGCCAGTGCCAGCGCTGGTTTAAACGATTTGCGGACGGAAACGAGTCAAAAGTGTTGACGAGGTGCAAAAATGGCTCGACGATTTCTTCTCATCGAAACCAGCTTCATTCTATTATGACGGACTTCACCCTTTGCTCGGACGATGGAGAAATGTTGTTGATTGTTGTGGAGAATATATCGATTAACAAAGTTCTCTTTTGTTAATTTTGTGATATTTTGAAAATCGTGTCAAAACATTACTTATTGGACAACCTAATAGAACATTTATTAGAAACATTTTATCTAGACTTCGGAAAACAAACCAAAACCAAAACCACCAAAACCAAAACAGACCAAAACTCGCCAATATCTCGCGATTGGGAGGATCTGTTTGCAGATTTGAATTTCAACGCTTTCAATTTAAAATTCAACGTCACTTTTGCCAAAGAAATGCACAGAGTTTTGAGTTAAATTTGTCCTTTTCTTTAAAACTTTGTATGCCTGAAGAAAGTTTGTGTTTCAAATTTGAACATCAGTAGGGAAAAATACGGCAGCTAGTTACATCCTGGCAGTTTGTTGAAAAACAAAATCTATGATTTCCTTTCAGATTCCTCGACTCAAATGGTCATTTTTGCCCCCGTGTCGACATGAATCCGTTCGGTTTGGGGAAGAGGGCGTGCTTGGGAGAGAATTTGGCCCGCTACGAGCTATTTCTCCTATTTGTCACAATTCTACAGGAATTCCAATTCGAGCGAATCGGTCAGTGAAAAGAAACAAAAGAAACATTTGAATTTAGCGATTTAGCTCAAAGGTTATACGCTGTTACTTTGTTAATTTGTTATTTATATTGGATTTACATACACATTTGGCATGTAGTAACCTAGACGTTCGAGGAATTGTTTCGAAAAACCTCCGGCTTACCTGTGTAACATTGAAACTTGAGCATTTCAAAGTATAAAGAAACAAAAATTAGCGTATTCTTTTTCTACAGTAATCAATAGCCTTCTTCTACAGTAATCAATAGTAATTTTGACTATAAACTTAGATAGAAGATTACGGTAGAATTGTAACGATTACGGTAACGTGGGGCAAAGTTTAGGAACTTAAAAAAACTGTGTTTCAAGTTGAGCGCCCAAGCAAACAAAATTCATTTACTAATCAAGCTTTGGCGTTAAATTCTAATTAAAAATCGAATTTTTATGATGTTTATGATGTTGATATTGTTGTTTATATTTCAGAAGGTCATCCCTTACCCTCACTCGCTCGTTCACCCGGAATGACTTCAGTTCCGAAAGAATTCGAGTGTCAGATCCGAGCACGGCGCCCACAAAACCCCAAGAATCTCGAAAACAACAACGATCTCTTGACACCAAATTTCAACGTGAATGCTAATGCTTGAATGCAAATTTTTGAAAAGGCTTTTCTTTTTAAGCAATCAGCTTTTATTCTAGTATTTTTTTGGAACTCTGCATAAGTATTTCAACTTTCAATTTGCATTCAAAGCAAGCAAAGCAATCATATCCCATTTTGTTAGCAATTTGTTAAATTTGCTAATTCTTGAATGCAAATTGAAGCCCATTTTACGAATTTTAGCTCTTAGGAACAACTCCTCGATTGGAGTTCGAGATTCCCTTTTTTGGGGTTGAGAAATTTGAAACATGCTTAACAGGATGCTTAATTTAGGCTGAAAATTTAGCTTAAACCTTCAAATAACCTATTATTTCTCTTAAGATTTGAAGGAATACGATAACTTTTCTAGGGTTTCCTTTTACAACAAAAAAAAGAGCATTTCACTTTTGCAAAATCAGCAAAATCTACGTAAAAGTTTTTCATTTTTAAACAAAGAATTTCTCAATGAAAGCTTGCAATTGAAATGCGTAAACTTTAAGGGAAATTAACTATAGAAGAGAAAGAATCGATGAATTATATGAGATAAGAAACTTGAAATCTCCTTCTTCTCTATTAGATAGATTTTATGTCAAGCACCCAAAGCTGTAAGAGAACGATCAAGAGAGTCGTTTAAGTTGAAACATCATCTTTCAAAAAGTGAAACGAAATGAATTGTGTTTCAAATTTCCCAATTCACCTGCCCGACTTTGAAACTTAATGTTTTGTCTTTGCTTTTTTTACTTTGTTTTTTACTTTGCTTGTTTTCTTTTGCATTTCATCTTTTCATGCCTCCTCATTGCTTTCAAAATCCTTCAAAATATCGGGTTATTTTTATTTTTTGTATTTTTTGTCAAATTTTATTCCCAATTTGTGATTTTCTTGATTTTCTCTGTTTTTTTCCTTGCTTTACAAGCTCATTTTCTTATTTCATTTTCGGGGTATTTTGTTATTTGTCGTGTTCTTTTTTGAAACCAAAACTGATCTCGTCGAAACGAAAAATCGAATGCAATGATCTGTGTGTAATAAAAGAAATTCTTAAATTGATGGAAATTTTGAAAAGAAGCCAACTATTTATTTTCTCAACAACATTTTGAAGAAGTTTTCTCAAAAAGCTCTCTTTTTTTCCAGAAACAGAAAGCTTTCAAAATGATATAAAACCGCGGGAGAGTTGGGGCTGAAAGTAATGACTGCAATGAGTTGGGGAGTTGGGGCTGAAAGTAATGACTAATGCAATGACAAAGGAACATTTTAAAGTCGAGTTCTTTGAGCTGCTTCTCGAACTAACTTGTCTAACAAACTGACCGGCACAGAAAGTGATTGTGGGGCATATCTCTTTCACATCAGCTACAGCATTCAGCTCCAGCATTCACCTACAGCATTCAGCTACAGCACTCCTAACACAGACTCCTCAGGCTATCTTGTCCACCACAGACGTTGAATAACCACAATTCAGCAGCAGCAATTACTATAAAGTGTCACCATGTCACCGAAGCCAATCTGGGCTTCAATTGGACACACCGGTACTTCAATGGGTTGGACCTGGGAATACAAAACAATACTCAAACAAAGGCCCTCAGATCTATCAGATTTTCTATCTAGAGACTCTCCGCTAATGTTTGAGACAAAAAACTTTTTTTTTTGATTGAGTTTCTGGACGCAGGTACAGAGTCCCAAAGAAAAGTTACCCAAAAAAACTTTACTTTTTGCATTTGGAAGAAAAAACGGTCAAAATTATCAAAAATCTGATTGGATATTCTGAGAGTAGATCCAAGGTTTGGTATATAATGCCAAACTTCCAAGTTAGTCGGCCCAGCCGTTTTCGAGAGAATGCTCGGATGGACACACAAACACACAGAGTCGTCTGTTTGCCTCCTATGGTCTCAGGGATTTGGGGAGGGCGACGCAGGGAGGGGAGGAGTCGGTTCAGTTACTCACTGCCCCTGTACGGAAAACGAACACTGTTGGTCCTGATCAAGTTGGTCCTGGCGAAGTACATGCGACAAAGATTACGGATTACGACGTAAATTTGAACTTTAAGAAATTCTGTGCCCTCCAGCTTGGCGAAATTGGCGACTAACCCGAACGCACTTACACTTTCGGGCACTTTTCCGAGCACAACCCGTATCACGTCAAAATATCGAAACTGGTCCCTTAAAATCTTAAATGCGAATATTTTTCGAGCATCATGGATGGCACATAATCTCCAGCTTTTGTTGAAATTCGTAAAAGTCGAGTTCTAAAAGAGTCGTGTCAGCGTTGGAATCTAATCATGTCGAAATCTCGGCCAGGGTCAAAGCTCATCTTATGATTTGTAGCGTTTCGTCAACTGTGGATATCACACTATTTTAATTTTATGCTAATTTTATGCTAATTTGCGTACTTTCAAAGTTTCGTGTCGATAGTAACGTATAGGGACGCGTCGATATCTTGTCTAACAAACTAACCGGCACAGAAAGTGATTGTGGGACATATCTCTTTCACATCAGCTACGGCATTCAGCTACAGCATTCAGCTACAGCATTCAGCTACAGCATTCATCTACAGCATTCAACTCAGGAATGATTCGCGAATGGACTCTCGGGGAAAACGATGCAACGATTGACGACGAGTGCAACGATAAGAGCAATTTCCCCACTGTAGATAGTGGAATGGATTTCAAAGAGTTTTTTTCAGCGCCATTGGAGAATCGGCCTTCTCGTCGGCCGCTCAGTACACACCGCTGCAAATCGGCATTTTATCATAAAAAGCTTGTTTCAATTTTAAATAAGTTAGGAAAAATTTGTGACTCCAGTAATTCCTGACAAAATTGAACTCGCTTTCGGTTTGTGATTCGAAAAGTTTAAATACCAGCATTTCATTTTTAGCTCTAACATGAAAGAAACAAAGAAATTTCAAGAAATTTCAAGAAATCACTCTTCACTTTCAAGTCACTTTCAAAAAAATTTGCAAGAAAAGAACTTTGCAAGAAACGAGAAAAGAGAAAAGAGGAGAACCGGATGGACGACCGATTGAGGAGGATGTGAGGGGAAAAGAAGAGACACCATCACTAGCATCTCTTTAACACCTGCCTCCGGGGATACAAATCTTTTTTGATTTGATAGAATTCGCTATATTGAGGACTGGGCGAATGTAGTTTTGTCTCGCGAGAAAAGTTTTGTTTCAAATTTTGGTAGATTATAGTGGAAATTTGCAATTCAATAAATGAATCGTAAGAAAAAAATTGAACTCGAATCTAAAATCTTTGCCTCTTCAGAGTATGGATGGAGAGTGATTGGACCAAACGGCTCTATCAAAGCACTGTCGATGCCTGCACGGAGTGGCAGGCTCGACTCGGATCCCACTGTTCCCTGGCTTTTATAGCAAAAATATAGCCAAATTTGCAACGGAAATTGATGTCATGGGCCTGGGCATAGTGGCGCCCAGGGCCCGCTCCCTTGCCGCTCCTCTCCCTTTCAAAGTTCCAAAAAAGAACACCTATCTATCGGGAAAGTGTCCCAGATAAAGAGCACAGCCGCACAAAGAACACCTCGTCAGTCATTTCTCTTTGGATGGCACAAAATGCAGATATTCAGCTGTAAATTTGTACCCGAAGCGTTTTCAAGGTCAGCGAATCGATCGGCGCTTTTCATTTTATTGAGTCTACCAAATCGAACACGGGTTTGCTTGGATTAAATTCAATAGAACGAGGCTCTCTAGGCAAAACGATGGTTTACAAATTCACTTCAAAGCCAATTATTGTAAAAAAGGGCACTCATTTAGCCTGAAATGAAATTTACCAAAAAAAAGAAAACCAAGAGAAAAGAAAATTTTTGGCTAAACTTGTAGGAAAATTGGTTTTCGATAAGAGCAAAGATTTCCCCCTGCTTGAGATCATCTCTAAACAAAGTTATGAAGCTTCATATGGTGCCTTTTAGTAAACAGACTTCTCTCCTCTCCGTAGTTACACCTTTTCTGTGTAATCGTTACCCTGAACTAAAGTTTAATTCGCCCAACTTGTTTCCTCGTCTCCTTTAAACCATTTAAAGCTTTATTCAAACAAAAAAAAATCCAGAAAATGAGCAAATCACAAGAATCACAAAAAAATTATGCACCAACTAAATGTTTTATCACGAGAAGTACACAAGAAAATTATTAAAAGCTTTGGAAATAGATGAAAAGAGTAAAAAAAATCAAAATCGAACTTATTAAAATGAATTGATTACCTATTAAAGTTCAGAAAGTTGAAACATAAGAAAAATTTCAAATTAATAAATTCAAAATTCATTAATTGAAAGGAAATTCAAAGTGAAATTTGATAAAAAGAAATGTTTATTAAATTGATCTTAAAAAAGGATTACCTGGCCAATTCTCACTCAAAAATGCTCACAATTTTATTTTTTCTATTTATTTTTTTCATTTCTAGCAATAAATCTAACAAATAAACAAGAAATAAATGAATTTTTTTAGAAAAATTTTTTTTTAGTGGGAATAGACCATGATTGCTACTCTTGTTATTCAAAAAAATTGAAACTTTTTATTCTTTAGTTGTTTAGGTCATTTTAAAACTAATAACGCGAATTGTTCAACAAGATTAGCAAAGAAGTTTTCACTTTTTCTTTGAATAAATTCGAATAGAACCTTTTGAGCAATATCGAAATGCTCAATCAAGCCAACAAGTCGACAGTGAAGGGGTTCAGGAAAGGATTGCATGGGGACGGTGTCGAGAAGTCGATCAATGGCACTGAAAGTTTCGATCATTTTTATGGTAGCATGTTAAATGCATGTCTGCTACCTTCCCTCATACCCGTACCTTCCCACATACACATACCTTCCCCATACCCGTACCTTCCCCCATACCTATGACCCAGACATCCCGTTTAACCGTTGGCGCTTAAATGCCGCGAAGCGGCTTAAGGCTAAAGCTTAAGGCTAAAGCTTAAGTCTTAAGGCTTAAGGCTTAAGGCTTAAGGCTTAAGTCTTAAGGCTTAAGGCTTAAGGCTTAAGTCTTAAGGCTTAAGGCTTAAGGCTTAAGGCTTAAGGCTTAAGGCTTAAGGCTAAGGCTTAAGGCTTGAGGCTAAGGCTTAAGGCTTAAAGCCGGGAACGTTAGTTCGGGTGGATGGGGCAGTATTTCCCATTCATTCGGGCAACGGAGTTAGTGCTTCTATTAAACATTTCACTTTCAAAGTGGCTCCAAATAAATTGAAACTAGGATATTTCAAGCACTAGATTCGGTCTTAATTTAGAATCGCAGGTTTAAAGTTGAAATTTGTTCAAATTTCGATTTCTTAAAGTAGATTGCAGAGATTTGCTTTAAAAGGGTACAGGGCTTTAAAAGGGATTTGCTTTAATTGGATTTGAAATTAGAAAATCGCTAAAAAGTAAAACATTATGCAAAATTAGCTGATGATGAAAAAAAGTTAGTTTTTAAAGTGAAACAGCTAAAAGAGAGCTCACAATGAATTATAATAATTACCCAGGCCAGAGTATGCAACTAGTTTCATTTAAAAGAAAATCTCAAGCAATAAACTTTAAAGTGAAATTTTCATTGAAAATTTTTCAATTTTCCAATGATTTTTTGGGATTAACTGGTGGACTCACGAACTTTTTGATAGTCTTTAAAGCTGTTTCTTTTCGTACACTGTACCTGTAATCTATCCAAACTAGTTATCTAATAGTTATTAGATGACGATCCAACATCTAATGGTTATTAGATCTAATAGTCCATCAAACTATTCGATTTTGACAACTAAGCTAACTGTTAGACTTCAACAGCTTTTGACAGCTTTTGACAGCTTTTAACAGCATTTAAAACTGTTTCTTTCTATAAAATGTACCTAATCAATCTAGATAGTTATTAAACTATTCTATTAAAATAACTAAAGTTGACAAGGTAATAAATTAGCAACATTTTTTCTTTCATCTTCTCGTTTGATCGCTTTTTTTTCGTTTGAAATTCGTTTGAATCGTTTGAAAAAAAGGTTCAAAACGTTTCCAATGTTATCGACCAATGAGAGGAGGTTTGGGTAAGAGGGGAAGTATGGGTATGAGGGCGGGTTTGGGTATGAGCTTTTCAATGTTATTGACGAGCTGATTTACAAGGATTTCGATTGGAATTGTTTGGGCTTTAAGGCTAAAATGCTTGCTAATGTTTGTCAATGGAAGTCCTTCCCCCACCATCTCGATCCAGGTGGTTCTCCTTGTCGCTCTCGTTTTCCTCGTTCTCGTTCAAATCCGTGTCGCAAATCGATGTCACAATCGTGATCGGCAGCTGGAAATTTGGCTTTTGTTTTAGCCAGAGAAATGAGGAGATTTGAAAAAATTTGAATAAAATAGCTTCAAACTGTTGTCTAAAAACTATTCATTGTTAGCTGATCCCATCAAATAAACCCGTGCATTTTGAAACACTTCAAAATCTGCTAGCAGTATTGCCATTTCGGTTTGACGAATTCGAAGTCTAGTTCTCAGAATTTTTCAAATTTCAAACCTGATTTGCTGATTTGATCGGCTTGATTAGTAATGGATTTGCAATGAAACGAACATCTCCATCCCGATTAGAATGGACAATCAAACCAACCGACCTTCATCTCGCCGATGACGAAATTGTGCGCCCGCCCGATCGAGATCTTTATGTAATAGTCGAGTTTCATTAAGCCGTCGACCTGAATTTGAAAAATTTGAAAGTTCACTATTTACTCGATTTCAATTTCTAATCATTTAATTTGAAATTAGCATTTTTAAAAGTCTCCTTTCATTTTCCCAAAACTCACGGCAAACGTCGGTGTCAACGCCGGTAAATTGAGATCGGGGCGGAAGGTGAGCGAGTCGTTAATCGGGATTTTCGGGATACTCGGCGGGAGACCCACTCCTCAAATAAGTCAATACAATAACCAATAACATTTGAAGCAATTTCAACTCACGGCAATTTCAGCAATTTCAACTTCAATTCAAAATTCCTTTCTTTTCATTTAAGAATTTACACAGAACCCTTAAAAGAGATCGATTTTAGACGTGAAAGAAACGAGATTTCAAAGGAGTAAATTCTATTTTCAGAGCAAGCTTTCAGTAAATTTTATTTTGTGATTAGTCTGGTGTGCTTATCTAAAAAAACCAATCAACAAGCGAAAAGAAAGATCTAATCAAAAATTTCAATGTCAAGTTTCAAAATTGAGACTTTTCAAGGAGATCTCATTTATTGAACAACTTTTCAAGAAGCTGTGTTGGCTTTCAAGAAGCAAGAAGCTCTGGAGAAGAGTGCTGAAATAGGGCCTTGAGTCCGATTGTCAATAGATGTTCAGCGGAAGAACAAGCTTTTGACCATTTCAATGGCTATTTTCAGCATTTCTTTCTAGATGAAGGTTGAATTTTTGCAGCTCTATCTTTTAGTCTAAAAATTCCTGAAAAAGTAGCCGTTAAAGGAGTGAAATCTCGTGTTTTCCGTTGTGCACCTATTGACAATCGGACGGACAAATGAACACATCTATTCTGAAATATCTGAAACAAATTCACTGATGGGTTGATTTTCTAGAAAGACAAAGGTGCTGAGGCTGTTTCCTGATGGAATCTAGGCTTCATAAAGCTTTTGTTTTCAAAGCTGGACATTAGTTTTTGAGGTTAATTAAAAGAATTGATATACCGTGGTTCAATCTGACTTCTATACTAAAATGCCATAAAGATAGAGAAACTGTTTTCATTGATTCAAAAAAATGTTTCATTCTTTCCATTCCCCTCTCCTTATACTCGATAAATTTGTAACATGACTTTTTAAAAAATCAACCATTTAACTCTATAGCTTTCATTTGAAAGAATTGAATGCGCCAAAAAGGGTTTGTTTATGAGAACTAGAGAGCACAAAGTACATTACACAAAATCTGACTCTACCTGTACAATCGTGATTGTAAACATTCCGAAGATGGACTTCCGGATATTTCTCGAGCGCTCCCTCGCACTCCAGCTTTCTCACAATATTCACATGCACGTATTTGATTGATTGTTTCCATCTAAAACAAAATAGACAAATAGACAATAGACAATGTCATAAATAGACAAACCGATTCGTGATTTTCAACTCGATAGGGATTTTCTCGACTGGAGTGAAGATCGATTTCCCAATTCGACATTCAACCTCGACAGATCGATTCCTAGAAAATTGCAGAATAAAATAGAGAAAAGAAATGAATATAAAATATGAAATAGACGAGTCTACAAGAAATATGAATATGAAATATGAAAAGAAACACCCCAAATATTGAAATAAATAAACTCACTTGGCAAATGAGAAAGTTTTCTGATGAAGGAATTTCTTCTCGGCCAGCGCCCGGGGAATCGATGTCGGGGAAACGATCGGGATTTGCAGCTCGCTCGCGTACAAAACATCCCCGAACAGGCTCAGCTCAGTCTGCAATTCTTTTCATTCTTTCAAATCATTTTAATTTCTTAACAAGGCTCTAGGACCGGAAGCTAGACCAGATCAGGGATCAAATAGACCGAGATTCGTTTGATTCCTTTGATTTATCCCTTGGCTTCAATCTCGGGGAATAACTGTTAATTCTAACATTTTTTTGCTAACTTTTTTTGGTTTTTAGAAACTAGATGAGATTCTGCTTTTGTTTATTAAAAAAATAATGTTATTTCAATGAAAGATCGTTAAGAAAAGATGAGTAGAAGATGCTAATTGTTTATTCTTTTTATTTTTGTTAATTATTGTTAACTATTGCCGTTGTAACACTTGACTATTCACGTTTGATTGTGAGTGATCATGTTTGAAAGGGGAAGCCGACCATGGCGGTCGGCTCTGGATCAGCCGTTTGCTTGGAGTATTTCCGACCATGCGACCATGCCGGTATACGCTTCACAAGTGATGGCATTTCCGCTTTCTTTTTGCTTGGAGTATTTGCGACATTTCGTATGGGATTTGGCGTTGCTTTCTCTTAATTTCTTCTCACTTTTCGCAGCCATCGCCATGCAGTCATTTCTCCACAGTAACTTTCAGCCAATTTCCCAGTTGATCCATCGGGATTTCGCAGGACAACTCCTGCGAAATCCCGATGGATCCCAGTGCCTCAGAATCAATGAATCCACTTTCCGGGGTCAGCTGCTTCTCCTCGCCCGTTTGTTCCTCGTATTGCCCGTCTTGAATTTGTGAAAATTGCTGGGAAACGAAAACTTTATTCAAGAATTATATTACTTGAAAATAAAACAAAAGAAATACCGTATTTACTCGAATAAAAGACCGGCCTCGATTACAAGACCGGCCTCGAATAGAAGACGGGGTCTAGGGGGTGATTGAAAAAATAGAAGACCGGTCTTCTATTCGAGTAAATACGGTAATTTCATTGGTGAGTTCTTTTTGAAACGAAAGATAAGATTAAGATAAACCGAATCTTTTATTGAACCTTTTATTGAAACAGATTCGGCCATTATTCTACTATTGCGTTGTGCTTTTCATTGTTTAATTTGAAACATGATTATTTTAAAATTTTCTTTTGCAAAAAAAATTCTCACCTTAATCAAGTATTTGACATTTGCAGGCGAATTCGGATATGAGAATGAAGTGACGGCTTGGAAAGGCACTCGGAAACGGAAACGTTTCGCCGTCGAGCTGGTGATCATTGGGGAAACGTTTGGATTGAGGGATGAGCTCTGGAAATCGAGATTCAGTTTCAAAATTCAAAATAAAACTGCCAAACTCTGGATTTACAGCGTAATTTTTCCTTTTTTTCATCTTTATTTACAGTTTTTTGATCATAATTCGAAATTTTCCTTTTGCGAAATTGATTTGCTCACTTTAAGTGCGTTTTTCTGATGAAAAAGTGTGTTTTTATCAAACAAATCCCTTTTTCAAATGTGTCAAATGTGATAAAAAGTTGAATTATTTACCCAAAAAGAAGAGTTTTAATAAATTAAGTTTCAAAAGTTCAAAATTTTTCATCTCTAAGATGTCTCTGCTTCGTTTCCGAGATTAATGCTTAAAGCAATGAGCCCATCCCGTTTACTTTGAAACTCGTTTCCTAAAACGTGTCCCCCGTTTTTAAAAAGAGAGAATTAGACAAGTGAGTAGGCTTCCAGAAGTCTTAATAATCAAATTTTCTTAATAATTCAAGTTTCAAGTTTTCACAGAACTTATTAGACTCACTGATAAGTTAATTGTTATTTTCAATTTTTATAAAATGTTTGTAGAATTCTTTTTCAACTTCTAAAGTGTATTCTCTCAAAAATCCCTATAACCTTTCCGTAAATTTTACAGTAACAGTAACAGTAACTTACATTAACAGTGCAGTAACAACTACAGTAATTACAGTAATTACAGTAATTACAGTAACTTTTAATAACGATGAAAAGCTTTTTATTTTGCCAAAAGATGAGGTTTCCTTTTTCGCTAAAACTTTTTATAAAAATTGAAAATAGCAATTAACTTGATCTCAATTTTTTCACCACTAAAACCTCATAAAAAATGATTTGCAACTTGCTCGCGTACAAAACATCCCCGAACAGGCTCAGCTCAGTCTGCAATTGCAAACCATGTCAAAATCTATTAAAAAAATTTTTTTAAAATCACATACTTTAGATAAAAAAGCCCATTTAATGGTTTGGAAGTTTTTGCAGAAGTTTACAAAAAAAAGCAGAACTATTTTACAGTTTCAAAGCTTTCAGAGAAGCTGAACACTCAAATCCCCCACAAGATCTGATCGTCAGTTACCTTTCCCGACCCCACATCGATAGGTTCTGATAAGCGCTTTTCGAGATTTCGAGGAATTTAGGTGCTCTGGGTGCACTACTATTAGAGCTCTGGGTACACTACTATTAGGGTGCTGGGTGGGTGAAATTGTTCTCGCAATTGGCAATTGCAATTGAGGCAATTGAGACTCAGATCATTGAGGTTAAGTCGGAAACTTTGACTCGACTCGGAAACTCGACTATAAAAGCTTTCTCTCTTAGGCCCTTCCGTTCTTGACGAAAAAAAGAATCTAGTTTGAATTTGAAATTTCTTTTAAAAACTATTGCGCTATTTTCCCTTAACAATGTATTCTAAAAATTTGGTGGAACTTGGACCCTACTATTTCAAGATTCATGGCTGGTTTCTATTACTTTTTCTATTATCAAGATTTACGGCTAGGTATTACAAAGCCGATTTCTATGCTTATATTGAAAATTTTGAAACAATGTTTTTTTTATTGAAGAAATTTTTTCATTTTCAAGCCCCCGGTTGTCTAAATGAGTAAAAAAAAATCATTGAAAAGTATTGGGTTTCAAATTTTCCCCCTCTATCAATAGAAATTGTGAAATTTTTTGAGAACAATAAGCTTGAATTGAATTTAAGCTAAAATTTAGGGTACTTTGAGTAAATCTCATTTGATATGGTAAATGTTTCAATGTTTCAAAGGGAAATAGTATCGGAGTACTTATCGGAGAAACTGGAGAATTTTTAATAAATAGAAATTGAAAAATAAATAGAAAAAACATTTCATTTAAAGAGTAATCAAAAAAGTCGAATCAAAGTTTTTAAATTTGTAAGCCACTTTTGCGCTTTAATTATCGTTCCATTAATTATCCTTCCTTTGTGGCCATATATACCATATTTTCTTTAATAAAAGTCACCAACTCGGCGAGCCGAGTTGGTGACGATTTTACGGTTTCCAAGCTTTTGCAGAAGCTCAACACTCAAATCCCCCACAAGATCTGATCGTTCCAATACGGTTCCAATAGGGATCTTTTTTGGATCTAATATGGTTCCAATACGGTTCGAATACGGTTCGAGTAGGGATCTTTTTTGGATCTACATCCAAAATCAGCTACATTTCCGACCCCACATCGATAGGTTCTTTTAAGAGCTTTTCTAGATTTCGAGAAATTTTGGCAACCCTCTCGGTGCACTACTATTAGAGAGAAGACGGTATTCTTGATATCTTGAAGCTTGATAAGCTGGGTTGAGGCTATAGGATTTGTAAACCAGGTGAAAGCCGGCCCCACATCTACAAGGTAAGAAATACTACATTACAATTGTTAGCTAAAAGTGATCTAGAAAGTAGACAACTTTGAAATTCTTTAAATGTTTTCAATTTAAACTTTAAAAGTCATATTTTTGAAAAGAGAATCTATCAAAATGTAATCTGTATCAAAATTTTCGAACTTTTAAATTTCGAAGATTCTAAAGGGAAAGCTTTTTACAGTTTTCTTTTTTTACTAACCACATATGAGTTTGTTCTTTGATATTTTTGAAATCAAAAATATGAAATCCCAACCGGTTTCCCGTGCATTCCCAGCAACTCCCCGGCTGCAACGAATCGCCACAATTCAACGCTCTCATCAACGAAATTTCTCTCCGCTCTGTACGTTTGGGTTTTCTCATATTCCTAAAAGTTCTGATAATCAAAAAAAGAATCAAGTTTCAAATTTTGCAACTCTTGTAAAGAATTCCTTACAACAAAAGGGATCGAGTGAAATTGGAGCTTTCCGTTGACGATTCACTTTATTTTGTAAAGAATTCCCGCCAATCATTGGCAAATTATTATAAAAATCAATACTTCAGTCAATCGTTTTCCTTTTAAACTCTTTAATTTTTCTAAAACAAACCTGAAACCAAACGCTAGCTTTCCCCTGGAATCTGATCGTCAGCCGATCACCGGGCACATCGTAAGGAGCATTCAAGCGGACTGTACCCGTCACATAGTCACCCGGAGCATAAAGTGAATCGTCAACGGAAAGCTCCAATTTCACTGGATCCATTTTGTTTTTGTTGTGCTCAGAAAATTGACATCAAATAAAGAAATGTGTTGGGTTGAGGTATCGCTGAATTATCGTTGAACTATTGTTGAACTATCGTTGAATCGCTTTGACCTGCTGAATTAATAGATTAATAGAAATAGGAAATTAACAGAAACTTTTTCGAATTCACATCAAATAAGTTGAAACAGAATCTTTTTAATCAAACAAATTTGAAAAACGAAATGCTGGATCATTTTTTTTGAGGCAGCTGACTAAATGAAATTAACGAAATACAACAAATTATTTTCAATTTTCCCTACCTAACTAATGATCACTTGAAACAACGTTTTTTTCAAACTCAAGTAAAGTAAAGTAAAGCATAAAGGGAACACATAAAGATGATTTCCTTAAAGAATCTTTTTATCAAACGTAATCTACGTATTTTTACTCACTGATCATGAATATGACATTAGAAAATAACGTTATTTTCTAATGTCATATTCATGATCAGTTATCATCACAGTTTTTTACAAAAACACAAAATCAGGAGCGATTTTTGGTTCATGGGACTTTTAAATACCCTCAAATTACCTTGTTCTTGAAGATATTCAGTTAATGAGCTGAAAACTCATATATCGAGTTGATTGACTGAATATGTTTAAAAGGTTGTGAGCAAAATAAAACTTTTATTTAGCCAAACGCTTTTGCCAATTAAATTCCGAACTGATTATGAATATTTTGAGTTTTGTGCAGCTGTCTTGAGTGAATAAAGGCCGCAATCTATTCGGTTGGCAAGTTATAAACAATCTTTTTAGGCAACAACTTGTTTATTTAATAGAACGCAAAAAATCTCTTGAATTTCTGCCGGCAAATCCACATGAGTGACTCCTGAAGGATGCGGCTCATTCTAGAGACTTTCGTTTCCACTTTGAAAGCGTTGAAACCATTTTCGACATTGACTTTCGCTAATACTTCCATCTCCAAAGTGGAAATGGTTGTACGATGAGATTGATGAGGATGATTTTCCTTGTTTAAAATCGTAGAGCATAGCTGTGCGAATAAGAAGTTTTTTGTCCTACATTTTCTTCCATTTTCGTCCAGGAAAATAGGGGCTCAGAAATTTGAAAGGGATCTTATTTTTAAAAATATTGTAGTTTGTATGCAGAAGCGAAAAATCTTTTTGAATTCTAAGATATCATTGAACATTGAACAAAGCAAACGATCGTTTATAACTTGCAAACCTAATATTTCTAGATAAAACTCTTGAATTTGATGGCCGAAATGGAACCCTACCGTAAATACTGTAATAGTACCCCACCCCCATAATGACGGTGCAGAGTGTTGTGTAGACTAGCTTTGAACAAGTTTTTCTCAACACTGATTTATGCTACAATGCGCGCATAGGTATCAAAAAATAGCCCTGAATTTTAGCTATTTTTTGATACCAAAGACGCATTTTTTGAAAGTACGGGCGCTTTGAAAAAAAATGAAATACTAAAAAACTTTTGCGACTACGCGACTGTACGAGGGGGGTGGGGTACTATTACAGTATTTACGGTATGTGCACGACTCAATTGAAGCTCAAGGGGGAACGACAATGATATAAGCTTGAAGGCAAATTTCACGTAGTTCTGTGTTTATTCTCGGTATATGAGATTCTTTAACATTGTTGTTTTTTGATTGGCTAAGATTTTAGTCTACAAAATTAAATATTGTCTACAAAATATTTCTAAATTATTTCTAAATCCCTAATCGACAAAATTGAAAAAGGTTCAGAAAAACTTTACTCGAATAGCACTATTCAAAATTGATTTTGCTAACTACTCATCCGTCAGGTATAAACATAGATTGAAAGTTTTCTCACTTGAAACCTTAGAACCTTAGAAACCTTGAAACCTTAGAACAACGCCGTCTTATCATAGATTTGGTTGAGTGCTTTAAAATTGTAAAAGGAAAACATCAAAACCCTCTTTTTAAAAATCTTTTTCGACTAAACTCGAGGCTTTTGGCGACTAGGCGTGGCTCTTTTATCGTGGCTCTTTTATCTTGCATCCCGAATCTGCTTTCTCTAAATCCTCTAGAGCTTTTTTCGTAAATTGTGTGACTAAAGTTTGGGATGCCCTTCCCAACAAGTTGCGTTTGATCTCCACCGTGTCTGATTTTAAAAGGGCTATTTCCTTGCATTTTAAGTGACTTTGTGATCTTTTATCTAGTACATTTTTCGCACTTTATTTCTTTCTGAATAAAGTATTTATATATATATATATAAAAATTAAATATTGTCTACAAAATTAAATTAAGGATTATGGTGCCAAATAAATTAACCAATAAAGTATTCGAGTTGGGACTGAAAAAAGGCGAAAAAAATTGTTTTATCAAGTGAAATCCTAACCAATTTCGCGTTATTTTGAGGGATCTAATGAAAATTGATGACGAGCCGATGTCGAATTGACAAGAAAATTTTCGATTTTACATAATCCAATTTGAAACATTAACTTTTTTCCATTGAAATGAAGAGGAAATTTCCCTTTTAACTTGTAAAAATTGAAATGTCATTTTTTTAAGACCACAAATCTCTTATTATTTCAAAGTTTAAACATCCTTTTTAGGTTTTAAACAAAAACTAACCCAATTTGATAACTGAAACAAATTGAAAACTTATAAAAGTTCTCAAAAAAAAAAAATTTGAATGACTTTTTAGCGTTTACGGACATTTAACTGTTCCAAATTTTCCCATTTCACCTAGTGCTTACTTGAAACTCATGAATTTTAATCGAACTTTTGCGGATTAGTTGACTCTTTTTGGTCATTTCATAAAGAGAAAAGGTTCCAAATTTGGAAATAGTAAAAGGAAAACAGTAAAAAAAATAGCCTTACAAGAGAATTCAATTCAAATTTAGCATTTAAGCAAAGAAAAATGATCTTTTTACAAAGTAGACTCAAAGAAAAGACACAGTTTCAAATAAATTTGAGTAAAGAGAGTAAAGAAAAAGAAGAGTAAAGGGAAATGGGGACAAATTATTGACTTTGGCTGCCCTTTTCTTGGGGAAAAGTTGGCCAAAGACATTCTTTTTGTCTCAACAAATAAATGATTTGAAAAAGTGATGAAGATCGGTTTCAAAAAGATCAGCAATTGGCTAGATTTTCTTTCTCTTTGGTTAAAATGGAGGAATCGAACGTGCTAATGTGAATTGAAAGGAATTGGACGGACTAATGTGGTGGCTGAAGAAATGGATGCACTCTTTTGAAACACAATTGTTTTTTTTTGATGAAAATAGCTTTCCAAGACAAATATTTGTGTTTACGATCACGTATAGAACAATATTTTGTCAAGAGTCGCCTCAATTCAATGAAAAATTCGAAATTTCTACCGTAATGCAATTAAAACTTGAAACTTTAGTGTAGAAAAGAAGTAAAAAGTATAGAAATTGTAGAGAATAGATGAGATAGAAGAGATAGAGAAAAAGTAAGTTTCAAAAAGTTCACGTTTTCACCAAGAAAAAGTCGGGTAGTTTTTTTTTTTCCTATAAACAATTACTTATCCGATTCAGAAAGCAGAAAAGCTTATTGTCTTAGGGAATTGAATTCCTTTTTCTTTTTTGGTAACAAAGCTTGATAAAATGGAATGAAAGATTTGGAAAAAGCTATTTTAAAGTTTCACCTTTTCTGAGGCTCAAGAGGAAAGCTCAAATCTGATATTTTTTCTGAGAGGAAATTGAAAAATTGCAAAAACTTGGTCAATTTGAGAGATTCCGGGAAGATTACGAGCAAAAAAGGAACGTTTTTGCGTTTTTCACGTTTTTTTGAGTCATTGACGCACTTTAACCTATAAAATCACTTTTTGTGATTCATAAAAATGGGATCCTTTTGCAAAAAAAGGTTTTTGTTTTTTTGAAAAAGCTTTGAACTTTTATGTGATTTTTGGCATTTAAAATGATAATCCACAAAGACAAAATAAAGTTAACAATTAGCTACAGCTACAATTAGCTACAGCTACAATTAGCTACAGCTACAATTAGCTACAGCTACAATTAGCTACAGCTACAATTAGCTACAGCTACAATTAAATAATTAACAATTAGCTACAGCTACAAGCCTAAGCCTACAATTAAATAATTGTAGCTGTATAAAAATAGGGAAATTAAATTATTGGGTTGATGCATAATTATCCGGACTTCTTTTTGCGTGCTTGTATCTTTTTTGTTTTGAAAGCTTTTTGTCTATTTCTTTTTTTTAAATATTCGTTATTCTTTAGTGAACAAAATGCGTGTCGACAATCATATCCAATTTCCGTGTGGGACCCATCCAGCCAATTTCCATACTTTGCCAAGCTTTTTGAGATGGCGCACGATCGTTGACTGGTCAACATTGAATTCATCTGCCAGCATTCTGGTTGTCAGGCTTTCGTCTTCTTCAACGGCTTCCAGAAGTGCCTTGTCATCGAATTCTGATGGCCGTCCTCTTCCTGGTTCATCATCAACACTTGTGTTACCGGACTTGAAACGATCGAACCATTCATAAACTGTTGCACGTCCAATTGTTCCTTGACCAAAAAGTTCTTTGGGTCCCACACGGAAATTGGATATGATTGTCGACACGCATTTTGTTCACTAAAGAATAACGAATATTTTAAAAAAAGAAATAGACAAAAAGCTTTCAAAACAAAAAAGATACAAGCACGCAAAAAGAAGTCCGGATAATTATGCATCAACCCAATAGTAATGAAAAATTACTCAAGAAATCTGGTTTAATCTGGGTTTTATCTAGAAAAGAGTTATAATTGTTTCGCCAATGTTAGTGCTTATTCGTCAAAGGTTGAAACTTGATACTTATTTACACTAGAATTCAAGTCATTTATCTGCTTTAACTAGGAATTAAAGCATAATCAGGCTAGTTGCACATCAAGTTAGTGACGCTAATAAAGCTACTCGAGTGACAATGACCATAAAGTTAACAATAATTGTAGCTGTATAAAAATAGGGAAATTAAATTAGTAATGAAAAATTACTTAAGAAATCTGGTTTAATCTGGGTTTTATCTAGAAAAAAAATTATAATTGTTTCGCCAATGTTAGTGCTTATGTCCCAAAAGTTGAAACTTGATACTTATTTACACTAGAATTCAAGTCATTTGTCTAGGTATAGTAAACGGTAATTTATTCAGCTAAGATTGAATAAATTCTGCTTTAACTAGGAATTAAAGCATAAACAGGCCAATTGATTGCACACTTTCGGCATCCAGAAATGGAAACCTAGAACAGTGAAAACAGAAAAGTGAAACCGAAACCTAGAATTTTCAAGACACAACAAAAATTGTTTGAAGGCAGCGCTTAAAATTCGCGAGTTTCAAAAAGGTTTGTATACAATAGCCCAGACCAGATGTAATTTGTTTGTTTTTTGACTTTTTTTGTTGCCAACCATTTGTTTTTAAACCGCTTTGTGCCTTTTTTTTTTTCAATTTTATCTTAATCCGCGGTTTTCGTTTGCAAAATCCGCGAAGTTTAGCAGATTAATCAGTCATTTTTTTCAGCTTTTCTGTGAGAAAATGACTAATTGGCTTAAATCTTTTAAACTGAGATTTTGAGTTAAAATTTTTTGCAAATTCCTGAGCCTAAGCCTAAGCCTGAAGCGGTCGTAGCCGACGGGATAGGAGTCGTAGCCGACAGGATAGGAGTCCAGTCCCCCAGTCGGGAAAGAGGGGTCAAGGGTTCGATCCAGCTAGAAAGATTGACTCTTTTTTCTATGGGTTTTTCTTAGCAACATTTGGGTAAGCAATATTTGGGTTTTTCTTAGCAACTCAGGCTCAGGGATTAAACTCTAGGGACTTTGACTCTAGGGATTAAAACTTTCTTCCTTTTTGTTGTAATTCATTATTCGTTTCGGATAAATATACTTTTAAAATCAAAGTTTCAATTGAATCAAGCCCAAAAAGAATTTCTTAAGGATTTCTTAAAGTTAAGACACTTAATCTGAATTTAATCAGATTTTAAAAGTTTACCGAATAAGAATCTAGACTTTGAAACTAAAACTGTAAGAAAGACACCAAGAGAGACACCATGATATGTGAGAATAAAGAATAAACAAACACAAAGCGATCAGGTGACTAAAAGGAAAGGGGAAAGGGGAAAGAGCTTTCAAAATGATAAAGATTAATTGAGAAAAAGTTTAAAGTTTCAATTTTTTAGGGACTAGAGGAAATTCTTTAAAGGTAATCCTTTAAAGAATTTGCAGAGGAGCAAATTCTTTAAAGGTAATCAAAGGACAGTGCCCGGTCAAGGCAAAATCAAACGTTATTAGTTTGTTTTTGTTTGTTTTCAATCAATCTTTTGATAGCATTTTTCAAAGTTGGGCGGAAAGGACTCATTGAAAATCTAAAGTTTCAATTTTTTTTTGGGATTTGAGAGAGAACTCGGTTGGCAATGGAAGGCAGGAAAAATAGCGTATTTTGAAAGTCTAGTTTAAACTTTATCACCAAAGTAATCGATGCAGGAAAGTTTCGAGAATTCAAAAGTACGGAAAAGAAAAGCTCATCAATCTTGTTTTCATCAAAAAACAGAATTGAATAAAAAAACAAATGGTTCGGTGTTTTCGGTGAGAGAATTTTGTGAAAGAATCGACCCATTCGTGACTCCTTATCGCCACTTTTTTTTTCTCTGATTTCTGAGGGTCTAAAATTTTGTCCCAAAAAAAATGGGAAAACTCTGAAGAACTCCGACATTTTGACAAGGAAATCCGCGAAAGGAACTACTGATTTTAAAAGGAAACTATGTATTTGGGAAATCGTATCATAAAATCTAAATAAAATAAATCCATATTTTATTATATTGGGTTGGTGGAAAAGTCCTTTCCGATTTTTTGGGAGAGTACCTTAAATTTGTCGAATTTTGACGTTTTATAGCTCATCCTAAAGCTGAATTCAAGACGGATCGATTGGTAAAAACCGTTTTGAGATGTCTCTTTTCTAAAAGTTTTTACAGCTATTTTAGTAAAGGGCGCCAGAGCCAAAAAAATGGCTGTTTTCACGTTTCGTTAGTTTTCCGTGCAGAAACCTAGGCTAAAAACGTGTGTTTCGTGATCGGCGTCAAAAATAACCCCTAGACACGCATTTTCAGAATCTTAGCAAAAATTTTTTTGAAAAATATTGTCACCGGCGGAAGTCGAACCAGCGACCCTCAGATCAAGAGCTTTTCCGCCAATAGCCAATACTATTAAAATAAGAGCTTTTTTAATATGCTTACTTTGAAACATGACTATTTTCACGTTGTGCTTTGTGCTCTTAAGCTCAATCCCTTAAATCCACCCTTTCTGGTGTACTCAATTCTTCCAATTTCAGAAATCATCAAATGGTTTCACTGCTGTGAGTGAAAAATGAAAGAATTAAGTGCACCAGAAAGGGGATGTTTATGAAATTTGAGAGAAAAAGTACGCTAAACAACATCATCGAAATCTAATGCTCGTCTAGCAATTTTCAGCTTGATTAATTTGAAACTAAAGTTTTCAAAAAAAGCTGACGACCAAATTTGACATTTAACTTTCGAATGAAAAGAGCTTTAGGTCAAAGTTAACAAATAAACACTAAAGAAACCCATCTTGTGCTGTCAATGATGAAACTTAAACGCTTTTTTCTTAAGATTTACAAGGTAAAAGATTTACAAATCAAATCGACAACCACAAAAAAGGTAAATCTAACAAAAATTCACAGAAAAAGCGAAGATCAACGATGAGAATTGAAAAATTTTCAAAAAAAACGCAGAGAAACCTTTTTTGTGGTTGTCGATTTGATCAGAAAGGAGAGAAAAATGAAAAGGAATAAAGGGAAAAAGAAATGTTTCAAAGAAAATCGCTACGAGAAGGGATGGTCAGAATTAATGGATACGTGAATAGTTCAAGTAAGACTTTAAAAACTTGTAAAAGAAAACCCGATTCAAGCATTTAAACTTGATAAAAGACTCCAAAAGGTGGATTTAAAGTTAAAAGTTTCAAGTTGAACAGATTCAAATAGATTCATCGTCAGCAATCACTTAAAAGTTGTAAAGGCTAAAAGAAATGGATTCGAAAAAAGCAAAAACTTGAACAAACCTTTACAAGATTTAATAAAACCTGAAACAAAAAGAGTAAAGAATTAAAAGCTAAAAGAAATCTGTTTCAAATGTGTTCAAAAACTTTTCCAAAATCTTGAGAGAATCAAGGAAAAGCGTCTCCTTTTCCCGGATGACTCGGCGCGGCTTTTGCGTTGTTTGGGAATCGTTTTTTGTCATTTCTGTGTTCTCTTTTTCCTTTTTGCTCTATTTTCGTCATTGAGTGTTGTGTGTAGAATGGGAACAGACAAAAATGGATTGAGAAGAAGGAAAGGAAGAGGAAAGGAAAGGAAAAGGGAAAACCGGTTGAACATCTAAAAGGTCTAGGAGCTAGAGAAGTGACGATCTCTGATTATCTATTCATATCTCTGATTCAGAATCAGAAGGTGAAGATAAGGCTTTCACAATGGGCAAATATTCATCTTGTAAACATATCTTAGACGAGTAGACAACCCCTTGTACAACAAAGAATTCATTTCTCTCGACAAAAGACACTCATTTTTCAGATGACTCGTCAAGCGATTCATATTCGAAGTGAAAGCAATTTCCTTCAAATACACATTTCTTTTTATTGCTTTTAAATGATTATAATATATTTGCGTGGTTAACGCTTTGAATCGAGTCGATTTTCCTTTACCTAAAGGAAGGAAAGAGAAAGGGAAAGAGGAAGGAAAGAGGAAGGGAAAGGAAAGAGGAAAGGAAAGATTCAAAAGAAAGATTCAAACACAAAAAGGAAAGATTAAAGAACTTTGAATTGATTAAAGAACTGAGAGGTTAGAATTTGTTTCCAACTATTGTGCTAAGGCTAAAGTCTATCTTTCAAAGCAATTCATCTCACAAAGAATCCCAAAAGAACTCTAATCTTTTGATCTAGATTTTAAAAAGAGCGAAACGAGGTGAATTTTCGCTTTTTTGAAAGTTTTCCCTTTCTTTCTCTTTCTAAATTTCTCGAATTTTCAAATCAAATAGATTTAATTAACTTCTTCTTTCACTCAAATATCCATTATAACAGCGGTAACTCGAAATCTAAATACAAAAAATCGTAATAATACATCTTGATGAGCATCTCTTTCAAATATTGGCTATTCTCGATTTCATTTCGGTATCTTTTTGGATAATTTGTTCCAGAAGTCGCGTGAAACGTCGCACGGCCAACCACCTGAACTCAATATAAACAAAAGGTTTCAAATTAGACTCAAGGGATAGCAATCCAGGCCTGGCGACAAGTCTAGGCCAGACTAGGCTGGTCATAGCTAAGTCTAGGCCAGGCTAGGCTGGTTATAGCTAAGTCTAGGCCAGGCTAGGCTGGCCATAGCTGAGTCTAGGCCAGACCTAGCCTCCGAGCACAGATAGACTTGTAGGAAAGCTGGACCAATCAGGGTGGATATCTATGAAAGTCATCATCTATGAAAAATACTGTTTTTCCAAATCCTTGTTCTCAAAGCTTAATAAAAGCCAAATGAATTTCGTGTTTCAAAATAAACAATTAAAAAGAATGCTTGAAAAATTCAATTACAATTGATCTGCGCTTTTAAATCTCGTAATAGCTTCCTTATATTTCCTTAGTGATAAGTAAATTCTGTTTCTAAATAAGATCTGTTTCTAAATTTTCACCTGTTCCCTGATATCATCAGTAACATTTTTTGGAACGCCAAAGAATTCGAATTCCGCCAAGAGCTCGTCGAGAAATACGGCGATTTTTGATGGAGTGTACTTGATGAAATGGTAGTCGGTGAAGTGCTCTTTCATTTGACAATGCCTAAAGACAGAAATTAAATAATCTTTCTAAAGAATAGCATTTTGCAGATCTGTTCATTTGTCGGCCGAATTGTCAATAGGTGTACAAAGGAAAACACAAGATTTCACCCCTTCAATAGTTATTTTTTCAGAAATTTTTTTAACTAAAAGATAGAGCTTGAATCATTCAACTTTCATGTAAAGAGAAATGCTGAAAAAGTAGCCGTTGAAGTGGTCAAAAGCTTGTTTTTCTGTTGTACACCTATTGACAATCGAACTGACAAAATACGCCTATTATGTTGGAGTTCAAAATTGGCCTAAAACGTATCAGTGACTCTAGTTCCTTTATGGTTCCTTTAAAGTTCTTTTATAGCTCCTTTATAATTCCTTTATAGTTCCTTTAAAGTTCCTTCATAGTTCCTTTATGGTTCCTTCATAGTACCTTTATGGTTCCTTTATAGTTCCTTTATAGTTCTTTTATAGCTCCTTTATAGTTCTTTTAAAGTTCTTTATAGCTCCTTTATAATTCCTTTATAATTCCTTTTGAAAAAGTGCTATTTTTCATTGAAGCCATGAACTTCTTTAACTCTTTTCCTAAAAGGTGCCCCCTTTCCCCCTTTCTACCTATCTTTTGTCTCTATTTTTATCCAATCTATTCAATTTTTTATATATTTCGATTTCCTTTCTTAACTTAACAAATTAACATTAAAGAAACCCATATTGTGCTGTCAAAGTTGAAACTTTTAAACTTTTTTTTCATAAGAAAAAATATAGAGACAAGATTATGGTAGAAAAGGGAATGGGAACCTTTTAGAAACCTTTTTAGGAAACAGCTTAAAGAAGTTCAGGGCTTCAATGAAAAATAGCACTTTTTTTAAAGTCGAGGAAGAGGGCACATCAGAAACAAAAAAAAATTTCCTTTAGAACTCATCGGGTTTAATTGAGTTTCAAAATTGATAGAGTGTAAACAGAAATGCCTTCATCAATCCAAAGAATCCTGCAAAAGCATCAAAACAAAAAAAAGCTTCAAAGCAACTTCAAAGGATTCAATTTTTTGCCGGATGAAATAACTTCAAATTGACGTGGAGGTTCCCCTTAACGTTCCCCTTGTGCTCTATTTTCGGTTGGAGCGGTTGGAGCGGTTGGAAGAACCAGTTGTCATCCTGGGGGTAGGTCTTATGCGCTATTTAATAGAAAAGACATACTATGCCTTGCGTACAGCTTGATGTTCTTGGTGACGTGTAAAATCGGAACAGACAAAAATGGTTTGAGAAGCTTTGAGAAAGGATGGAATAATTTCAAATTGACGTTGGCATTTTTGGTTTGCACTCTCTCAACTTTGAAACTCAACAATTCAGACTCTCTTGAATTTTAGGCTTTAGGTTTTAGGCTCAGGCTCAGGCTTAGGCTCAGGCTCAGGCTTAGGCTTACGACATTTGATACGCGCCCTGTCCTCTTCTCCATTGGCAATCTAACTTTGAGCTCAAATTTCTTGGTGTTGATCTGTCGAATTCAAATAGTTTTTATACCAATAGACAGTCAATTGATCAATCAATCGACTTTTATACAAAACTACTATGGCACGAGTTCGCAACAAGGATAAGAAACAGCCGACTATTACAATTTGTTCAAGTTGACAGACCAAGTTTGCGGGGAGAAATGCGCATTCTCGACTTGATGAACATCCTTTTTCCCGTTTGAGATCGCTTGCAGACTTTCGTATTGATTTTGAATGAAACATGTCATATTCTCTTCACATCCATAACACGGGTCGACCCTCGTGTTGAAATGAGCTTCTGGGTGGGTTTTTGCTCTGGAAGGGGAAAGGAATGAAGATTTATTTAAAAATATTACGGTGCTGTAGGTACTCTAGCTTTGGTTTATTTTAGCGAACAGTAATAGTGCTTGGAAAACCCGTTGACTAAGTGACTGTAGCTTTAGTAAATTTTACGCTTAATAGCTAGCAAATTAGACTACTGTAGCCTTGACACACTTTAGGAAACAGTACTAGAACTTGGAAACTAGGTAACTAGGTGATGGTAGCTTCTTAACTTAGCGGAGCTTGCTCAAAGCTAGAGCTTGCTCAAAGCTAGAGCTTGCTCAAAGCTAGAGCTTGCTCAAAGCTAGAGCTTGCTCAAAGCTAGAGCTTGCTCAAAGCTAGAGCTTGCTCAAAGCTAGAGCTTGCTCAAAGCTAGAGCTTGCTCAAAGCTAGAGCTTGCTCAAAGCTAGAGCTTGCTCAAAGCTAGAGCTTGCTCAAAGCTAGAGCTTGCTCAAAGCTAGAGCTTGCTCAAAGAGAGTACGGTAGTTTAGGCACAATTGTAAGCCATTATTTTGGCCATTATCAAGCGAAGTCGATTATTTTGAAACTTTGAAACTCACAAGATACATTTGTCGACAAAACCCGAAATGAAGCGCTCCACCGGCTCCCGGATGATCATATAATTTCTCCATTTTCCACCCCTTGCTGGAAAATCTTTGAAAGTGAAAAATATGAATCAATTCTATGCAATAAAATGATTTAGCTATTGAATTTTTAATGTTAATATGCAATTGAAAAAAATGCCTGATTGAAAATTCTTCCTAGCCGTCCATGTAAAAATCTCGTTGTACTTTTGGCAACGTCTGTAAAAATTGATTATTTCATTTCAAATGCAACGCAACAGCGTTTATAGAGAAAAATTTTTTGTGCACATCTAAAATGCGCTAGCCACCGTAGTTCGCAATTTCCATTGCTTAAAGCCATTTGTTTATTGCCATTCCGTTGTTTTTTTGTTTCATTTTTCACCGTTTTTCTTTGCCATTTCATCGCAAATTTCATCAAGATCAACTGCTATAAAAGAAGCTACCGTAAATACTGTAATTGGACCCCATGGGCTACTATTTTTTCCTTCCCCCTCTAGGGTGGGGTCCAATTACAGTATTTACGGTAAGTGTTTTGAGACTTTTACAGAGAGATCGACGAAAACAAACGTCGAATTGCGAAAACTTTTAATGAAACAACAGCAGAAACAACAGCAGAAACAACAACAGTTTTTGATCGTTTTTCTTGATCAGTTCGCTTTGTTTTAATGACTTTTACAGAGAGATCGACGAACACAAAAAACAAATGTCACAAAATACAAAAGAATATTTTAAAATGTTAACTATCTACCAACCTTTCAACCGGGACTTTATTGTTGTTTGTGTTGTTGCTTCTGTTGTTATATCGGTGGTTATTTTTGTTGTTATTTCTATTGTTGTTTCTGTTGGTGTTTCTGTTGTTGTTTCTGTTGTTGCTTCTATTGTTGCTTCTATTGTTGCTTCTGTTGTTGCTTCTGTTGTTGTTTCTGTTGGTGTTTCTGTTGTTGTTTCTGTTGTTGTTTCTGTTGTTGCTTCTGTTGTTGTTTCTGTTGTTATATCGGTGGTTATTTCTGTTGTTATTTCTATTGTTGTTTCTGTTGTTTCGACATTTGTGCTTGTCGATCTCTCTGTAAAAGTCTCAAACACTGGACTACTTTTATAGCAGTCGATCTTGATGAATTTGCGATGAAATAGCAAAGAAAAACGGTGAAAAATGAATTAAAAACAGCGGGAAATTGCATTGCGGATTACGGTAGCTAGTGCATTTTAGAATGCGTCCCCTTCTTTTCCCTGTAAACGCTCTTGCGTAATGCATACCGTATCGTAATGCATATAAATGATACCTAACAAAAAACGTGTCTTTCATCATGTCTTTTACTTCCTTTTTGTAGGCGATTGCGTCAAAGATATAGCAAAGAATCGAAGTGAAAACGGTGGAGAAATTCTTGGGGATAATGCACGTGGTGAGGCCGTACTTTGGGACCATCTAAAGTCATTTACACAGTGTTTTCTCTTTTTCTTTCTAGATGGCGAAAAATGTTCTCATTTTTAAATGAACCAACCACTTGTCTACTCGGCCCATTCCATAGTGGTTTCAGTAGCTCACATTGTTGAACACTCGGACAGAAGCGCTTCTCATATGTGAGAAATGAGATTTCTCGTGTTGTATTCTAAAAGGAAGTAAAGCTACCTGATTCTTGGTTTAACCAAGTCTAACTTCTTGGTTTAACCAAGTATAAGAGCTATGAAAAACAAAGTTTCAAATAAAGTAGAGAAACGAGAAACGGGAACTGGCTAATCGTCCTCTTCCTCCTTTTCCTCCTTTTAATACGTCTGAATAATTATTAAACCCTTTCCAAATAAAAGCCGAGTGAGTTAAAAATGAATATCTTTAAGCCTTTTTGAGTGGAAAAGTGCTATTGTTAAGAGCATTATTGAAAAGTTTAAGTTTCATATTTTAAACGCATAGAAAACACAGTTTAGATATAATCGGCGCTTAATTCTCGGGTTTTTCATCAAATCTCATTCATCAATCTCATTCATCGGACAGAAGCGCTTCTCATATGTGAGAAATGAGATTTCTCGTGTTGTATTCTAAATGGAAGTAAAGCTACCCGATTCTTGGTTTAACCAAGTTTAACAGCTAAGTCTAGCAGCTATGAAAAACAAAGTTTCAAATAAAATGAAATCTAAAGAAAGGGGACGTCGTTAATCGTCTTTTTCCCTGTTTAATACATCTGAATTATTAAACCTTTCCAAATCAAAGCCAAGTGAGTCAAAAATTTGAACCTTTGAACCTTTGAGAACCTTTTTGAGAAAGTGCTATTGTTAAAAGCATTATTGAAAAGCTTAAATGCATAGAAAACAGAGCTTAGAGACAATCGGGCCTGGCCTTTCTTTTTCTTGGTTTTTTTTCATCAAATCTTACCTGTTTATCTGTCTGAAATAAGAATCCAAGCTTAGCAGGATCATTTTGTTGAATCCCAGTGAAACTTGACGAGCTTTTATAGGCGAAAAGTAATCCGAATACAACGAGCAATCCGATTGAAAGATTGATGACAAATCTGAAGATTTACTAGTTTTACAGAAGATTCCCGGAATGTAGTTACAAATCATTTTATAACGATGAAAATAACCTAAATATGTTTTTTTTATGAAATCTCCATTAAATGGCTATTTAAATAGTCAAATTGAGCTTAAGAATTGAGCAAATGAATGCTTAGTGGAAGAGGTTTTCATAGAGAAATCAAATGATTGTTGGCCGATAAATATTGGGTTGTCCAGTTATGAATGCGCGTTTTTACTATTTTGTAAATTTCTCAAGAAAAATATATATATATATGAGCCAAATCTCCAGGTCAAACAAAGCCAAAGTCAAGGTTTTAGGCTAAAACCAGGTAAGGTTGAAATTCCAAGTCAACACTAATTGAAAGCCATTGACTTTCGCTTTGGTTTGGTTGGCTTGGCTTGGCTTGGCTTGGCTTGGCTTGGCTTGGTTTGGCTTGGCTTGGGTTTGGTTGGCTTGGCTTGGCTTGGGTTTGGTTGGCTTGGCTTGGCTTGGGTTTGGTTGGCTTGGCTTGGCTTGGCTTTAGCTTTTTGTAATAGCTCTCTACGTAACATATTCAAACGATTAAGCCAAGTCTTGTGCAAAAAGATTAGATTAAAAGGTGACAAACCTCTTCGGCATTTGAATCAATCGATTCTGGAAAGGTGATGACTTCATTTCTCCTAACATTTGTTGAATATTTTTCAGTCGAAACCCGCGAAATTGTCATCCTTTCACTGCTTTCAATGCTTTAGAAAAAAGCATCAAAAAAGCATTCCATTGACATGCTTGTTGAGTTTTCAAAAAAGAACAATGCGAAAAAGAGAATTTCAATATCTCGAAAGGCCAAATGTGATCTATGAGATCGAAAAAGCGGTTGACAATGAGAAAGTCTGACGGAAATTGGACTCGAGAGAAGTTTGAATCTTTTTTTCCGTTTAATATTCTCTCAAAAGGTATGTCAACTGAGTGTGGTGGTCAAATGATGGGCTATTCGATTCAGAAATCAATGCCGATTCCAAATCTCCTTTCGGTTTCTGCTATAGAGAATTCTGTTAAAAGTTATAAGCGTGCAAAGTTTTGTATGGGTTTGTGTGAGTGCAAGAAAGCTCTTAATTTTCGTAGTTTAGTTGGAGTGTATATTTTTGTAAATAATTCTTTTATTTCTTCAATTCATTGTCAAACTTTGTTGTTTATCGTTTCCTCAATCCAGTCACAATGATTGGCGATTCGGGTGAAGTAAACAGCTTGAAACTCGAAGCAAATCTCTTTCAACTTTCAACTTTCAACCAACTGTAAAGAAACAAACAACTCTTTGCTGATAACAAAGGGGAGCTTTTTGAGTATATTATTGGGTATACCTCCTCATGATCTACAGACAACTGATTAGGGAAAGGCACGAACTCTAGTATTATCCAAGTATTGCTTGTATATATCGATAAGAGAAAATAGCGCATAAGACCTCGCCCCCAAGATGACAACAAGGTTGTCAACTGAGCGGTTGGACGAGCATCTCTTGTCATCTTGGGGGGAGGTCTTATGTGCTATTTAATAGAAATAGAAAGGAAAACTAGAAAACTAAATAGAAAGGAAAAACCGTGCGTTGCGTGCAGCTTGATGTTCTTGGTGACGTGATATATATCAGGCAGGGTTTGTCCGTACCCGTAACCAAATCCTCAGAGAACGTCCGTTAAATTTTCCGAGATGAGAATGTCCGTTAAACAGGGTGCATAGCGCATAAGACCTCCCCCAAGATGAAAAAAGGTTTTGAGACGGCACTGGTAAAACTTGTTGTCTAAGGGAGGAGGGTGGGATTGTCTCTTTTTTTATAAATTTCTTTTTAAAAATTTTGAAACTCATCTTTTTTATTTCGAATTTTTCACATTTCAACTCAATTGAAACACGAATTTTTTTATTGAATTGAATTTTTTGCAAGCATTAACTTTTTAATTACCCTGAAACATCGCCTTTCTCAATCGGTCCAGCTTTTCGTAACGCCTCTGAGCTATCTTTCAGCGATCATAGACAGCTCTGAAATTTGACTAACATTGAAATGGTGGGGTTTTTACAGTAACAAGCTAGGAAATATTTGGCTTATAGGTTTTAAAGAAATTTTCTTAGAAAATAGAAATTTTAAGAGTCCGAAAGAACTAGGCAATCCTTGAAAAGTGTCAAAAGTTCCCCTTATTTGCCATCTCTTCTCAAAACGAAGATTCTGAAGAAATTAATGGTGATTGAAGCACTTCAATTGATGAAAGTCAATCACGATCATGAAAGTCAATGAAAGTCAATCACGATTTTCGATCATTCGTCCTATTATGCGGGCTGTTTCCCTCTAATATTGGACAAGTCGACGTGACATTGTCCAACGCGAAAATCGAGGAAAACAACAGTCGACTTGCCGGCCTACGCCATAAGCATTTCAATTCCGATCCTGAACAAAAATTTCTGCTTTTTATGATCTTTGTTTACCAGAAAGGGGTTGAGTACGAGGACGAGCTGAGAACCCACAGGGAAAAATTGAGTCAGATGATCATCAAGTTTGCCACATTAGGCTCTGGCTCTATTCTCTATTACTTTCATATTTTCTTTTGTCCATTTTCGATTGGTCAAAAGAGCCACAATGTATTAATTTTTGTGCTATTAAGAAGACTTGATATGGCTTTGATCCATTTCATATTTACGAGGACGAGCTGAGAAGGCACAGGTCAAAATTTGTCACCTCTTTTCGCTCGCTTCACTTACACGATATTTTATCGTTGGAATTTTGAGCTCAACATAATTATCCAATACAATTTTCGCACTTTTTGCTTTCCAGAAGCCATCCGGCCAGCCGGGCACAGGTGAAACTCGTTGTCAAGATGACAACAGGTTCTTCCAACCGCTCAGGTTCTTGTCGCTCAGGATGTAGCTCAGGTTGCTCAGGTTGTTGATGTTGTCATCTTGGGGGGAGGTCTTATGCGCTATTTTCCCTTATGGATATATACAAGCAATACTTGAATAAGTGAGAAGTGCGTACCTTGCAGCTGCATTATCACAGCTCAATCCCCCGCCTTCTGGCAAGCAAACTTTGACCAAGTACTACCCGAAACGAATCTAAACTACACCGCCCAAGATGACAACAGCATCAGCATGTTCGCCCACTTCCGGTGAAACTCCGTGAATCGGGATAATACATTTCATGCGGAGTGCAAATGTAAAATTCTTAGCCTACTAGAATTGAATTCTAGTTAATGTTAGCGGTTAATTAGTTTTCATGCAATCGAATCACTTCTTCACTTCTAGAAATTTGAAATTGATTCCGTTAAATATTGAGAATTTAAAGTTACTCAAAAGTGCCCGTCAAAAGCAGTCAGCAAAACTTTGTTGAAGAAAAAGAAGTACGGATTTGAGAGTTTTTTCTTCAACATCAACAAACCTTTGGTGGGGGTTTAGAGAGGAATTTAGATAGGAACTAATGCCCATAAACTTTGTTGCCAACTTTGCTGGCAAACATTAAAACCTTTTGTCTTTTCAATCAAAAACAAACGATTCGTTTATTTTGAAAGAAAAAAATGAAACTTTTGACGCTAATGTGCCTTTGGTCAATTGATCAAGCAAACGAGAGGCTCGTCTCCCAAAACGAACCAAAATCTTACTACTGACTGACTCCCTCTAAACTGACTCCCTCTAAAATAAATAGCCTTGTTTGGGAACTTTTGACGCATTCCCCATACAGTCCGGACCTTTTGATTACTATTTGTTCCGGATCATGAGTAATGAGCTTGCGGGAGAACACTTCGCTTCGGAAGAAGCAGTCAGAAATTGGCTTTGAGTTTTTCGATTCAAAACCAAAATCCTACTACGAAAGAGGAATCCGCAAATTGCCTGTAAAAGCCTGTAAAATGGGCAGAAGTTGTCAGTAATAATGGAAATTATTTTCGAATGAATCCATGGTTTTATGTTCAATAAATTTTAGTTCAAAGTCCGGCAGTTTTCAATTCACCAACCCAATATTAACGTTATCTTTTGTTACAAGTTTTTTTGCTTGTTTTGCTTGTTTTGCTTGTTTTACTGGAGTTTACTAGTTCAAATTATCAAATAAAACTGTTAAATCAAGGCGGATCTATCCTTTGTTACGCGGGAAAAATGGCGAAAATCGAAAAGCGAAAAGAAACATTGTCTTTAAGGGCAATGTGTTCGCGAACATTAAAACTAAATTTTGAACTTGTTTTTTGGTTAAAAGTGTTGAGTCTTTATTCGAAATTTCTAGTTTTTGGGGGCGAAAAACACAGTGCACCTACCGTAAAAAGTATTTCAATTGAAAAGCCGAACACGAAGATATTTGAGTTTTAAAGTTTGCAGTTTGCAAGAGGCGCTTGTAATGTCTTCGAATTCGAATGTCAAATGTTTCAGCGCATCGAGAGTACACGGGTTTGATCAGCGGTTATTATCGTCGACGATGGCGTTTCTTCTGCGAGTCTCTTCTCGATGCTCGATATCATCTTGATCAGAAAAAATATGATGCAGAAGTTTTTGAATTCATCGAGAAACCGTTCATGGAGAATCAGCTTGAAATTTTGATTCCATAAGCCTTCATTTGCATTCAAATTACAATAGTTTGACGTTAAATCATAGAAATTAAATAGACTTGGACAGGTAAGGGGAAAAATGAGTTCTGTTCTGTTCTTTTCTTTTCTCTCCTCTCCTCTTCTCTCCTCTCCTCTTCTCTTCTCTCCTCTTCTCTCCTCTTCTCTACTCTTCTCTTCTCTCCTCTCCTCTTCTCTCCTCTCCTCTTCTCTTCTCTCCTCTTCTCTCCTCTTCTCTACTCTTCTCTTCTCTTCTCTCCTCTTCTCTCCTCTTCTTTACACTTAAACCACCGTAAACAAAGTCGAGACTTTTTCTGTACAGTAGAGTCGCAAAATTAGTGCTTACCGTAAATACTGTAATAGTACTCCACCCCCGTCGTACAGTCGCGTAGTCGAAATACTAAAAGTTTTTTAGTATTTCATTTTTTTCAAAGCGCCCGTACTTTCAAAAAATGCGTCTTTGGTATCAAAAAATAGCTGAAATTCAGGGCTATTTTTTGATACCAAAACGAGCATTGTAGCATAAACCAGTGTCGAGAAAAACGCGTCCAAAGCTAGGCTACACAACACTCCGCACCGTCATTATGGGGATGGGGTACTATTACAGTATTTACGGTATCATTTTGTTATGCATTCGATTTTTTCTGTGAAAAATTGAGATCTTTGATACAAAAAGTTCAAAATCGATTGCGATTTTACTATATTTTTCTCATTTTTCAAGTTTATTCGACTCGTCAAGTCTCAAATTGGATTTTAATTTCACTTGACTGTGGTTGAGCCACTTTTGCTTTAGCAGTGCTTCAGCAAAAGCAAAACAAAGCAAAGCAAAACAAAACAAAACAAAACAAAGCAAAGTTCATGCCTTTAGATTTAAAGAATTCAAACACTAGCAAGTTTTGTCGTTTCTAAAAGACAGTAGACTTCGAAAAGTTCTATTTTCTCGAAAACATTTCACATCTTCAATTTCATCAGCTTTCGTTAAACCAAAAGCTGATTAAATTGAAGTTTTTGGATAGAAAAATACTTGAAATAATGATTAAAATACGAAAAATACGAAAAAAAATAATGATTAAAAGAATTTATGTTTGAAAAGGCTTTCAAAAAGAGAAT